CGAAACGTGGTCCTTTCCCAGTAAATTCAATTGGCGGAAAGTCAACAGGTATGTGAACTTAAAATTAGGGATGCGAGGACTTGTTTGAGATTGAAACAATTTGTCGTCAGCCCAATCTCGAATCAACTTTTGGCAAAAGAGTGTTTTACCAATCCCTGCCTTCCCGGTGACAAGAACAAATTTGGGATTCGTTTCTTCGTCTGTATTGGTATTAGAAAGAAACATTTCTTGAGGATGTTTTATTGGCTTTCCACTCACATGACCGTACCGGCGGAGGTATTCCTCTCTTTCCGTGTCAAGGTCTTCAACTGGCTTCCGTCCGTGTTGCATGAGAAGACTTGTGAAGATGTCACCCGTTTTCACCCTAGGCTTGGTATGGGTAGTAAGACGGTGAAATTCAGTTTGACTTTTGATTGATGCTTTCAGATCATTTGTGTACGCCTCTACAGCTAAAAACGGAAAACCGTATCAATAGCATTAGAAATGCTGAAGATGTTATTCATAAACAGATATCGGTATATTTGTTCATGTCATAATCCTGAAATGTCCCAGGACGGATCCAAACCTTGATTTAAGGAGGTAAGAAAGTGAACGTTGCTATTTACTTCATCAATTGAATGCCGTTGTGTGATTTCATTTTTTGAATGCATGATTGGATAGACAGCTATACTAAATTATTAGGAGTGGTCACTGACAACAAACTTAAATGAAAAGCGCAATTGGACAAGGTGCATAGGTCATTCTATTTTCCTACTTCTTTTAAATGATAAAGAAGCATAAGGATTCTTATGGTGTAGTGATCTACACTTCAAGGCTCCAATATATCATATGAAAGACCCAATCAAAATGCATTTATGATAAAGGTTATTGGATAAAAAATCTTATCAATATAATCTTTCATTATCATAAATTTTTCCGGCTTCCTCACCATTCTCTGTCTCACAAGGACAACGCTGAGGGAGGGGCTAAGTGGGCCACGCAGAGGGAGGGGTTAAGTGGGCCACGCAGAGGGAGGGGTTAAGTGGGCCACGCAGAGGGTGGGGCTATGTGGACAACGCAGAGGGAGGGGCTAAGTGGACCATGCAGAGGGAAGGGCTTAGTGGGTGTCCCTCTCTTAAACTTATCATGTTTTTTTTTTTAAAAAAAGGTCATGAATTGGAACGGGTTTCCTTGACTTTGTGTTCATGATACTGCAAAGTAGTGGTCTGCGGAGCAACGATAGAAACAAGTTACCTCAATAATTACCTTCAGGTCCTATTTTCTTTACACTCTTGTCATCTTTTTTACTAATTTTTTCTTCGATTTTATCCAATCTTTCCTTGATGCTTTTCTCATCCATCACCCACTCTTTAAGAAGTTCTTTGTAGTATTCTACGAAATCAGGGTCGATGCATTCCTTTTTCAGATCATCGATTGCACTTTGGTAACCTGCCCCTCCNCAGAGATAAGTGGTACATTTCTTTCATTCTTTTTTTTCATGTTATTTTGTAGTTATTGTTACGGTTATGTTTTATTTTTCTACAAAAGACCGCACTAATTATGTAATAAAGCTTTCAGCGCACGTGTTTATTTTCGTTTCTTGTGCGGTTTTACCAGTTATGAAACGGGGATCACAGTTATGTAACATCATCTCTGTTGGGGCAGTAGCGACTTAAGTTGGTGATTTCAATGCCTTTAAGAAAACCAAAAGAAATATCTTTAGTCTGTAACAGTGATTACAAGGAGTCGATTTCATACTGGTCTCAATATAAAAAGTCTGTTTAGTTTGGTGGACCCGACCGAAAATTGAGCAAAATTATATCATGAGGATTTCTCAAAAACTGAGGGACAAAATGATGTTTTTTACTCTGGTGTTCTTTGAAATATAAATCCTGTATGATTGGTTTTAGCAATCAATAAGATTCCCAAAAGACTTGTGAATCTTATGAAAATAGGAAATTAGCTGGAATCAGGGCTATTAGAAAGGTCGCATTTAGTGTCAGCAAAATCACAGAAGTCAATAGTTTTGAACACCACCAGCAGATTAAAAGTTTCTGTGACAGATGCTATTCTAGCTCTTTGCTAAATGCTCTTCTAAAAGTGAGCGCAGATATCAACGTGATCACAATTTAGTTATTTTGACAATTGGTTGCAAGTTTCTATTTGGTTGCTCTTCATGACGCAAATGGTACAAGAAACTTTACTCTTACATAGATAATTCGTTTGGTTCTGGCCAATTCTCGGAGAAACTTTTTTCTCAAGTCAAGAAATACTAACTGTGAAGACAGTACATGAATTATTTTAACATTCTGCCCGCAGTCTCTCCAGGTATTTCTTTGGAACTGAAGGGTGCTCGAAGCTTAAGAACACATTTGAACTCCCTAAAATTACCCCAACTTCAGCCAAAAACCCAAACGTTCTTTTACCTGCCAATTACATGAACCTTAGAGCAATGATTAAACTATTTTATTCTCAAGATGTAATCATCAATTATTTTGATTTATAAATGATTTTAACATTCTGCACACAGGCTCCAGGTATTTTATTAGAACTGAAGGGTGTCCGTGGCTAAAGTGCACAGTTGAACTCCACAAAATTACCCAAAATTCAGCCAAACCCAACTATTTTATTCTCAATATGTAACATATGTTAATTTGTTTTTAATTATTTTGATTTCTAATAACATCCTTTAATATCCAAGAACATCTGGTCGATGATTCTCATACTTCTCATTGCCTTTCTGCTTCAAAATACAGTGGATCTTGCAAGGAAAATCTTTTTGCTCACTCGTGAGAGTCCTTTCTTTAAAGATGCTGTTGTATTTTGTTATTTTACAGTCAGTTTTCCAATGATTAGATAATCAACCAACGCTGAATGCCATTATTATTGTTATTATGGTAATAAAGTGCACGCATGGGTGCTGACAATATTTTGAAATAACTTTGAAGTGGGATCTCTGAATTAGACCATGAATGATACAGAAACTGAATAATTTCAAGACAATGAAATTCATCACTAAATCAAATCTTTAATTTGCCTGTTAAGGTATCAAATAATATTATGGAAAGGCTACGAGAAATTGTTCTGCCAACTCGTCCCCAGAGATTACCTCCTTTCTCAAGGCAAGGGAAGAGGAGAGCTCTTTAGAACTAGAAGGAAAGGGCTGACTCCATCGTTTTCCAGTATTTGTCGGCTTGCGCTCATTACTTCCAATGTGACTTCACGTATTAACAGGTGAAGGTCTTCTCCACGTTCTTCTTCTTCCTAACTATGGAAGGTCTGACAGGAAATATATTACACTTGGTGTTGGCGACGTTTCAATCTTTTTGTGCTTACGATTTGTCTCATCAATCTCCTACTTCGATATCAGGAAATTTTCGAATAACTCCTAGTGCTCTGGCAAAACATTAACAATCGAACAACCGATGAATCATTCTCTTGGCTGTATGTTTCGGTCTAAATATAAAGTTGTTGATCACCTTATCCTCACTTAAACTCAAAAACACTCTTTTATATTGTCTGAATCTTAAATATCTCATGGTAATCAAGCCAACCAAATCGTTGAAACTTCAAATTCCACA